ATGAATGGACAGCGCTTTAGCGGCCCCATTTTGATAACCTTCCGTGACGCTATCAATGGCATTGTCTATTTGCGCTTTGGCCGCGTCGAGGCCTTCCTACGCGTCTCCGGCAGCCTGGGAAGCTAAGTATTGGGATCGTCCCCAAGCTTGAATTTGGACGAACACTTGCAGGCTCACTGTTCTACAAGTTTAAATTTATGTTTCACTGCGTCGTAAATGTATGTTTCACGAATTATATACACACATATCATCGTTCGCCTCCTTGCATTTTAATGACGACCTGAGCTATTCGATATTTACATACATATGTATATACACTTAAGGTCTCTTACGGACTTATAACAGACTTATATCATAGGCGAAAATTAAACATCATGCAAATGTATCGTTCCTTTCAATTGTTTACATACATATATACATACATATACATACATATATTCATATATCAATCTTAAATAAACCTGAGCAAATTATCGTAATCCATATTATGAACATTTTATTATATTAGCAAATCTTAAGTCAATCTAGCTCTTTAATGAAAAGTTATTCAGATTCTAGAAGAAATTACTTCGTATAAATCTTCAAGTCATCATTGGACTATGAATCAGCAGTCATCAAAGATCAATCACAAATCATGAGCATCTATCATGAATCAACAATCAACAATAATCACTTATTAATCATCGATCTACTCCCCAGGATACACCTGGGTACAATTCTCAGAAATCCAATATACCCTTCAACAGGCAATCAGGAACTATCCAAAACTCAATTGGAAACATGCTGGCAGCACTCGAATGTTGCTTATAGCTGCGGAAAACGTGGCTCAAGCCACGGGACATGAGCAGGGAGTGCTAAAAACAAAGCAAAAAGAAGAAGAGGAAGAAGAGAAATGGAAACAAGTTGGCAGCTTCATCAAGTGGCTAGCGGAGGCTGTTAGCCAATGCAATGCTATGGCATGGCATGTGCCTGTGGACATTTTCGCACTCGCATAACTTTGACAGCATTTTTGCAGCATTACAATTAACTGCCTAGTCGAGGGGCGGCGTGTGGGCGTGGCAGCAGCAGCTGCTGCTAGTGAACTGCATTGCTTGGACAAAGTCGGAGTCTTGCTGGGATTTTGAGCCGCAGCGCCTACAAGCGGGCGTGGCACACATAGTGTGCTTGTGTATGTATGTGTGTATGTGTGTGCGTGTATATGTGTATGTGTGTGTGTGTGTAAAATTTGTTCCATTTTACGCTTTCTACACAAAAACAATAAATCGCTCACAGCGTCACGTCAACTTTCCTAATGCAACGGACAAGGGCGCGGATCAAGAGGATGGAAAACAGTGAGCCGAAGGGGCGAGTCACAGAGAAAGAGAGAAAGAGGGAGAGAGCGAGAGTGGAGGAGAGAAAGAATACGAGGCAATGGGGAGCAAAGCTCACGGATGCAGTCGGATGCAGCAATTGAGGCTGAAGCCATTTTAACTGCCACTTGAATGCTAAAAACAATGAGCACAGCAACTAAATGTATACATATACACACACACGCACTCACCCACACACCCACACACATGAAAACAGAAACTGTAAATTGTAATTTAAAAACTTTTAGTGGCTGCCCTTGCAATAAATGCGCCACGTAAATCAGTCCATGATGTGCATGATAAAAGGTAAGAGCCTTAGGTTACAGGCTTTGCCCGTAAACACACACAAACACACACACAGACGCACACAACTGCATTCTTCCCACACTCACACACATACATCACCTACTGCCCTTCTGGTTGCCATGCTACCAAACAAATTGGTGTTGACTATCTGCGCCACAAATATTTTGTTTTCTAATTGCCAAAGCCAGGCCAGAGCCACTTTCCCACTCTTTCTCTCTATCTGTCTCTGTCTCACTCACTCTTGTTATCTCTCACTCGCTCAAACAAAAGGCATGTTATATAAATGCTGTGTGCTTTATGCACAAGCTGGCATTCGGCAGCATATTTGGGTCATCTCTATAAACTCAAGTGTGGCTTATTATGGGAATTCCGACGATCGACCCTGAGTTGCCTTTGCAGTGCTTTTCATCAAAAAATGTTGAAGAGACTCGTAATTGTTATTAAAAATATTGTGAGATATTAAACTCGTTGTCGAAGGTTGAGCTGGAGGGACGGACGAACAGCTAGACAGATGGATGGAAAAATGGACGTATGAACGGGGACACAGACGGAAGGCTAAACTGAGGCATAAACGGGAGAATGGATATATGGACGGATGAATGATTAGACAGAGGAAAGGATAAGCTAACGGATAGACAGATGGAAGGATAGACTAACGGACAAACGGGAAATTGGAAAGATAGACGGTTGAGCAGAGAGACAGACGGAAGAATATACGGAAGACTGGATAGATGATGGAAGGAAGAATGGAAAGACAGACGGTCAACCGGATGAATAGATCACGGACGAATAGCTAGATCAACTCATCAAGTTGTTCTGATCAAGAATATTTATAATTTCTACTTAAACCCTAAATCTCCATTTTCAAAATGAATGCATTATATTTCATATATCTAATCCAATAGTTAAATAGTTCTACTAACTTTCCTTAGAGTCCTTTTTCTGCTCAACCAATACACTGTACTTCGTTCAGATATATGCTTCAAGCGTTTAAGCTGCGCTTAATGTCTTTTCCGCTGAAAAAAAAAAAAAACATGACACAAATCAACAAATTCTTTTTTTTTCTGCTTGCGCCATGTCACAGACTTTTTTTTTAGCCTAGACTGGGTAGCAGATGTCGTTGTTGTTGTTGTTACTACACCTTTGGCAACACACATACACCCACACACACATACACATAGGGAGAGAAATGAATATACGTATGTTAAGCAAAAGTGAAGAAACGTGATTGAAATTTTATCTTTGGTAAAAAATCGAAGAAATATGTATGTGAATTGGGCTTTGGCTGCCGCAGCTGCCCCATCTAACACACACACACATATGCTAGGGTGTGTGTGTGTGTTTGACTTTTAAATTCCTCAACGTTGGCGTTAACCGTCGCCGTGGCTCTGTGTTATTTGCATTGAAATGTTGAGTAATTGGAAAACCAATCTGAAGCATCTGCACTTCATGTTTTGCATACCTGACTGACAGACGCCAAACGACGCGACGCTTCACATTCGCTTTTCCCTTCTCTCTTTTCCCTCTCCCTCTCCTCTCTCTCTCTCATGCGCTCCTCTCTCTCTCTTCTTTTTTATACTCGTATGTTTTTTAGCTGAAAATCAAGAACAAATACAACACACACACACATGGACACACCCACACACACACAAACACCCTGTACATACCACACATCATACACAGGCACCGCGACAGGTTGATTTTGCTTCTGGCATGGCAGTTGTTAAAAATAAATTGTTTTTAAATAGCTCTCACAACGGTGCAAGCGCTCCCGGGGCTCAAAGTTCTATGTGTGTGTGTGTGTGTGTGTGTGTGTGTGTGTGAGCTTACCCTTCTCTCTCTCTTCATGCCGCTAGTCGAACAGTATAAAAAAGATGCCGTTGCACTTGAGTTGAGCAGGCTCGCCTCTAAAATATCCCTCACCTCTTATACAGCTATTATTATATTAAATTCTAATCAGAATTCACTCAATGCGGGAATTCCAATTTCCCCAACTGCCTAAATATCGTCGGAAATTCTGTTATCTATTAGGCTTTGCTGCCCTTCGCCTACCTGGACATGGTACTCCCATAAGTTCTGGCTGGCATTTGCTCTACTCTCTCACTCTCTCTCTCTCTGTCTCTCCCTCCCTCTCTCTGCTGCTACTACCCTTTAAGCTTGCTTAACCAATTTACAGGGTATATTGGCAACAACGAGAACAACAGCCAAACGCCTGGCAAACGCCGACAAAAGCTAACAATGAGCGTTGGCTCTTCCGTTGGCGCTTCCTGGTTCCTGAACTTATTTGTTTTCAATTTTATTATGTTTTTTCTTCAATTCTTCTCCTCTTTTTCACTTATTTCCCTCTTTAGTCTATGTTTTTGTTTCGTTCGCTCGACAGGTTTGCAGCGTGAAGCTCGTGTTTTTATTACCATTTTGTAGAAATTACTTCGAATAATTTTGCATTCGTTCACAAGTGTCTTACTGCGGACGGGCTTAGCCCCAATCCCTATCGAGGTGTCACAGCTTGCCACGCAAATTGTCTCAATATGCTCCAGCTATTGGCAATAGAAGTTAACTTTATGCTGCGCTACGAGTTAGCGTATTGTTCGGATGGATAATGGATTCCAGAGCAGTTAACATAATAAAAAAAGGTGGAATTTGGATGGACGCTTAATTGCTAATCATGCGTCTAATATCATGAGAGTTAAGAAGTTAACTCTAACGATTTAATTTAATCAATTTAAGTTTAAATAAATTCGATTTGATAAACTCTAATGAGTTTTGCTCAGTTTGTTTTGTAAATCGTATATTGTCATCGTATATCATACATATATAAATATTGTATATCTTGTATTAAATATCAGAGATAGTATGTAGCAGTAGCTTATAGTACATCTTGTATAATGTATCGTACATCGTAGACCGTAGATCGTATATTATGTTTTGTAGACCGTATATCATATATTCTATATCGTATATGAAAGCAGTAGCGTACATTAGATATAGCATATCTCAGGAATATACTATTAGATACAGTATAACGTATATCATATATCAAATATTGTACATATATTATCTATATCTATTGTCACGGTTACGATATCTACTGTATACTGTATATCGTAGACCGTATATCGTATATTGCGTATGGTGGACCGCATATCATATATTCTATATCGTATATGTTGGAAGTATATTTTATATCGTACATCGGATATCAATACCTTACATTGGATATCGTATATCAGAAAATCCTACATCGTATATCAATGATAGTATATCGTATAGTAAACATTGCCTATTGTCAAGGTTATACTAGAATATTACGTTTACTAACAACCAACTAAATATTAAAGCAACGTCTTTTTACTGCACTTCCATTTTATTTATACTCGAATTTCGTTAATTTTTTCAGGCTAAACATGTATGAATTTATAAATATTTGTGTGTTGCAGGAAACTCTACCGTGAGAATGTGGCTCAGAATGAACATGACCATGAACACGTTCTGTGAGTGCGTGAACATAAACTCTATCGGTTAGTATTACGACTTCTCTGTTTCGCACTGGATCGCGTATTCCCATTTACGCCACATGTGCAATGACCTTTTTGGGGAGTTTTGGGTCTCGATTTTGGAGTAGCTGGGCAATCGTTCGGCTTGGAACGCACCGGCTGAGGCGTTGGTGGCTCACAGTTTTCTGGCCTCGAATTGATAAGCTCGTCGAACGGCGCATAGTTATCCATTGAATCAAAGCCGTGGTATGAACCAGTTGTATCCTGCGTCTTATTGGTGGATTGAAGAGACGGCCCAAAGCTGGGCTCAGTGATGTCCGAGATCGCAGTGCTGTTCTTACGATTCGATTCACGAGGAGATTGACTGATGGGTGTACTCTCGAACTCCGGCATCGATATGTCATTTATGGATTGAATGCTCTTCTTACCCGCATTCGAATCCCGCTTTTTGCTGTCCTGGGCACCTGCAACCCCTTGCCCAGAAGTCGAAGACTTCTTAGCCTCTACATCTACCGTACTTGGGCATGGACAATCGGTTGGCGATTGTTCATCTTGATTGTTCCGCTGGCCGGTTAGAGCACTACCCTCACCTCTCTTCATACTACGCGATGAATTCGTAGCTCTTGGATCGCTTTTGTCAAGCTGTCTCCGCTCCGAGGCATTACCCTCCTCAGCGCATACATCGCTGCAAAACATTTCACATGGCTCACTCACATCCATGATATTTGACTCCACATTCGAATAATGCGAATTCATTCCCGATGGTGCGCTCACATCCGCCAAATGTTGACTGGCTTCCCTTAATCGCTCGGATACAATTTTACCAAATTTCGAGCTATTGGTCAGTATTGATGGCTCTGTAATATTCTCGATGTTCTCGCAGTTCAAAGTGCAGGTGGTGACTCGGGTGGTTTGCTTGGACTGTGAACGGCTTATGCTATTCGCATAGGATGGTGCGCTGACATCATGTAGCATTTCGCTTGGATAAGATTCTTCGGTAGTTAATTTCGAGCACAATGTCGAAAATTGTGATTCCATTCCGGATGGTGCGCTCACATCCGCAAGACATTGGCTTTGCTCCGTAGCCATTTGACCATACATCGTGCTATTGGCCAACATCGATGGCTCTGTAATATTTTCGATGCCTTCACAGTCCAAATTGCAGTTGGTGTATCGGCTGCTCTGTTTGGACTGAGAACGACTTTTGCTACCTGGATATTCGGTTGGGTAGGGCTGACCACTCGAGTCCAGTTGGCCATAACAGCAGTCTACCCGACTACTGACCATTGAGGGGGCAGATATGTCGCCGATATTTTGTTGACTGATGCACGGAAAACTACGAACTTGTCGTGCCGCCGTGCCGCTGTATACAGAATTGCTCGAATTAGCCGTCGGTATCTGATATATACTTTTCATGGCCTGACTGTTGAAGCCAAAGCTGGGAGCACTCTCGTCCTCCAGAGCATCGCATTCATACGACGGCTCAGAGCGAGGCTTGCGCAAATTGGCTGATGATTCAAAGACCGGTGCGCTAATGTTCCACAGCTCCTGTGTGTTGCCACTGCGACCAAAGGAGGGCGGTGTCACATTGCTCAGACACTCGCTAGTCATTGGCAAGTCTCGCCGACTCGAAGTACTGACAGTGGAAATGTTGCCAAACGATGGCATTGTTACATTTTGAAGGCATTCACTTTGTACTCGGCAGGAGTTATTCATAATCGGCGATTGTTGAACTCTGGAATTAGGGCCCTGCGATTGACTTCGTCCCATACTCTTGGAAGTCATGGTCGCAAATCCACTGCTGTTGTAAGAAGGTGCCGATATGTCACAGATTTGTTGGGACTGCATTGTCGGGCAACGAGCGCATGAGACACCCGATACACCAAAGGAGGGCATACTAACGTCCTCCAAACATTCCCTAGTGCCTGGGCTACCGCGCATCGAACGCTGTTGTCGGCTCAGTGTTCGTGCTCTCGAGACGCCCGATACATCCGCGAATGAAGGCATGCTCATGTCCTGCAGTCGACATTGATCTGAGCGATTCTGGATAGATCTTTGCGTGACTTGCGGTGACATAGTCCTAGTGAACGACGGTGCGCTCACATCGTTCAAGCACTCTGACGGCATGGTCTGCTGTCGTTGCGATGAGCCCGATACGTCCGCAAACGACGGCATGCTTACGTCGTATAAGCACTCATTGGTCATTGTATTTCCACGTCCACTGCTTGCGTATGATACAGGTGAGATGTCACAGATATTTTGGGACGGCATCGAACACTGTTGTTGCTGCTGGTTGAGGGTACGCTGCCTAGACGCACCCGATATTCCTCCAAATGATGGCATACTGACATCCATTATATAGCCATTACTCATGTCTCCTGTGCCCGATTTGCAGGCATTCGAAAGTGCCATTTGCTGACGCTGTGAACTTCCGCGGGAAATGCTCTGCGCAAAGGAGGGTGCACTGACATCGTTCAAGCATTCGGAAGCACAAGTGTTTGGCCTTGAACACTCCAAGGAAGCACCGTATGACGGCATTGATATATCATTCAAACATTCATTTGTCAGTCCTCCCGTTCCGCAGCTTTCCAGTGATGGGGCAGAGATATCACAGATTTTTTGAGAGGTCATCGTTTGTTGTCTTCGCTTTGGAGTTTGCCCTCTTGCAGCTATACATTCAGCCGTACTATTCATTGGTCCACGATTACGAGATGCCGGTGTTGAGCTCTTACAAACAGTCTTCGTTGTTATCGATCGCTTTTGACGTATTGGAGTTTTCGCTCTTGAGGATCCCGATACATCGCCACAGGTAGGCATGCTAATTTCATCTATGATCTCAGAAGTTGTCGTTGTCGTTTGACATTTTTCCCCGCTATCATTTTGCCTTGACCTTTGCCGACGTTGCGGTGACCGGCTGCGCAGCGTGCTGTGTGCAAACGACGGTGCACTAACATTGTCCAAACATTCCGCGATTGAAGTCCGTTGTCTTCTGGATGATGTCGATACCGCTACACCTGATGGCATTGTCACATTTTCCAAGCATTCACTATTCGATGCACGACGTCCACTGCTATTAAAAGATGGAGCTGATATATCACAGATATTCTGAGATGCCATCGACTGCTGCTGGCGTCCGCTACTAGCAAAGGACGGTGCCGATACATCACAGATATTCTGAGAAGGCATCGATTGCTGTTGCTGCCGCGTTGGAGTCCTGGGTCTTGAAGCTCCAGACACTCCACCAAAGGATGGCATACTCATATCCTCCAAAAACTGACTATAAGAGACTTCTTGACCACAGCATTCGCTATTCATTGTCCCGCGCCCACTGCTAGCAAAGGACGGTGCCGATACATCACAGATATTTTGAGAAGGCATCGACTGCTGCTGGCATCCACTGCTGGCAAAGGACGGTGCCGATACATCGCAGATATTTTGAGAAGGCGTCGATTGCTGCTGACGTCCACTGCTAGCAAAGGACGGTGCCGATACATCACAGATATTTTGAGAAGGCATCGACTGCTGCTGGCATCCACTGCTGGCAAAGGACGGTGCCGATACATCACAGATATTTTGAGAAGGCATCGACTGCTGCTGGCATCCACTGCTAGCAAAAGACGGTGCCGATACATCACAAATATTCTGAGAAGGCATCGACTGCTGCTGGCATCCACTGCTGGCAAAGGACGGTGCCGATACATCACAGATATTCTGAGAAGGCATCGATTGCTGCTGTCGTCCACTGCTAGCAAAAGACGGTGCCGATACATCACAAATATTCTGAGAAGGCATCGACTGCTGCTGGCATCCACTGCTAGCAAAGGACGGTGCCGATACATCACAAATATTTTGCGATGGCATCGATTGCTGTTGGCGGCCACTGCTAGCAAAGGACGGTGCCGATACATCGCAGATATTTTGAGAAGGCATCGATTGCTGCTGACGTCCACTGCTAGCAAAGGACGGTGCCGATACATCACAGATATTCTGAGAAGGCATCGATTGCTGTTGGCGTCCACTGCTGGCAAAAGACGGTGCCGATACATCACAGATATTTTGAGAAGCCATTGATTGCTGTTGCTGTCGTGTTGGAGTCCTGGGCCTTGAAACTCCTGATACTCCACCGAAAGAGGGCATACTCTCTTCTTCCAAACACGGACTATAACAGACCTCTTTACCCGAGTATTCGTTACTGATTGTTCCGCGTCCACTGCCAGCAAAGGATGGTGCAGATATATCACAGATATTTTGAGATGTCATCGATTGCTGTTGCTGCCGTGTTGGAGTTCTGGGCCTTGAAGCTCCAGACACTCCACCAAACGACGGCATACTCATTTCCTCTAAAAACTGGCTATAAGACACCTCTCTACCGCTGTTTCCATAGGAGGGCTGGGTGACGTCATCTAAGCATTCATTAGTCATTTGTCCCACTCGGCTACTTTCATATATTGGGCCTGAGATATTACACATATTCTGGGCTGCCATCGAACGCTGTTGACGCGACGGTGTTCTACCTCTCGATGCACCGGATACCCCGCCAAAGGAAGGCATGCTGATATCTGTCAAACACTCACTGGGCATCGGTCCTCGTGTAGAGTTTCCAAAGGACGGCATAGTTACTTGATCTAAATATTCTTGTTGATCGTTTTGAAAGCACGGCTCCATTGAGCAGCACGTCGATTGCGCGGGCATCGAATACTGTTGACGTGTCGGTGTTCGCCCTTGGGACGCATACGATACTCCACCAAATGTCGGCATACTAATATCTTCAATGAACTGATTATTTGTGGTGCATTCAAACGATGGCATCGTGACTTCCTCCAAACATTCATTTGTCATTTGTGATCGTCCACTGTAGCCATACATTGGCATTGATATGTTCTCCAAGCATTCACCAGAATTTGGACCCTGTCCGTACGATACGTACGATGGGGCTGATGTGTCACAAATATTCTGCGATTTCATCGAACGCTGCTGCATTGATCTAGCTGTAGCACATGATGACCCCTCGAAGGAGGGCATACTGATGTCGTCCAGAACTGTTGAGTTCAAATTACTCTGTGCTAGCATCGATCTTGGTTGGCTGCGATACACTCTACTGCGAGCAGGACTAGATCCAAACGACGGAGCACTGACGTCGTTTAAGCACTCACTGGTCATATAGCCTGATTGCCTATTCGGTACTCTGGACACGTTGCCAAATGAAGGCATTGATATGTCTTCCAAGCGATCTTGCGACATCTGGGTAACTTGTCGTCGCGATGCACCAGAAGATCCCATACAGCTTGGCATCGAGACACTGTTCAAGCATTCATTGGTATATTGCGTTGGCTGCCGGATCGAGTCACCATTCGCACCACAAATGCCACTCGGCATGGATACGTCTGCCAGATTGCTGTCAGCGAAGGAGGGCGCACTGATATTTTCGAGGCAAGCACTTTGATCCATCGACCTCTGAGCTATACGAGTGCTCATCGCTGGGTGGCTATTGTCATAGAATGGGGGCATTGAGATGTTTGCTAAATCCTCGCTCTGATCTGGCATATTGCAAAATTGAAGATGTCGTCCGGCTGTAGGACCCTGTCCTGGACAGCACACAGGGGTGTTATCCAAATTAGCCCCTTGATCATTGGATACCGTGCTCGTCTCCTCAACACGACTTGTCACCTTTCCGGATTGATCCCGTTGCGTCGTAATTGTGCGAACCGTGGTAGTTAAGATATTATTATTCTGTGTGCCAAAGGATTTTAACTTTTATTTAAAGTGAATGTCAACTAGTAAATTGCGAAAGTCTCTAGTCGGCACTGACCGACTAGAAGATACCCGCCAAGAGCTGATCTTTCAAAGTTCAAATGCTAGTTCACACATCACGGACAGCCAGACGGACGGACATGACAGATTTGTGAATTGTGAGCACCTTTTCTCTCTCTATCTCTCTCTCTCTCTCTCTCTCTCCCTCCCTCTCTCTGTCTCACTATCTCTCTCTGCCGGTTACAATCATTGACAAAAAGTCAATGTACCCTTAGCTTTGGGGGTAACTTTTGTACTGCTGTTACCTTTTCTGTGCTGCATTTGTCGAACTTTTGATCGGGCATTGAATATTGATCTGGATCTCGGCAATTCCCTGCTGGCAATAGATCATAGTCGCAAGCGCTCAGCTGGCTAAAATCATGCACAACCCTCTGCTGTACGCTACCCGAACAGTTATTGCTATCTTTTTCACTCACACTCGAGTCTGCCGTGGTGCACAATTGTGGCGGTGTTACATTATCCAGGTATTCTCCACACGAACCAGACATTGGCGATGGCATACTCATTTCGAACTGCGGCGCCGAGACATCAGCCAAACATTCGTCCGTTAAATTGTTCACAATCGAAGTTTCAGTTGGACGATACATGGGTCTACGCGGTTGGGCCATCCGCATCGCATTCATTGCCTCAGCGTCAGTTTGATCTAAAAATCGTTTGGAATGGTCAGTTTGGCTCGAAATACTCTAAGCAGCTCTACGGACATGTCATGTTGCGAAACATGCGGGGATTACGCCATTCCTCGTTGCCGGTCAAACCAAACTCCCGGGGATCATATTTACGCGGTTGTCCGCAGTATCCGGGATAGAAATGCTCTGGCGTATTCACTAAATCATTTTGTGGCGACTGTCCGCTGGGCGTTTTACAGTGCGGATTTGACATGGTAGCATGCGATGCTTCCAAAGAATTTTGCTATTGAGTTTTAGCCTGAAAAAAAAAAAAAATTACGAATTCTTTGCCAGTCGAAATTTGTGCTGAATTGAAGTGTTTGGAAGTACTCGAAGTGAGCAGAGAAGCCTACTACAATTTCCATACATTCCCTGTTACTTGCCTTGCTCTACCGCTCTTTGTAAGTCATGAGTCATATCAATCAGGCAATCAATCATAGTCAATTAGAGTTATAGCTACTCAATCAGAGTCACTCGGCTTAATACTTAGTCAGTGTATCGCTCAAAGTCAGTCGATCAGAGTCAGTAACTAAGTAAAATTCTGTCAGAGTCAGTTAAAGTCAATCAAACAGTCAATCAACTTGTCAATCCGAGTCAAGCAGACTTGCTCAGTGCAGTTGCACAGTCAGTAAGTAAATGAGAGTCAGTCCATTAACCCATTAGTCATATAAAATCGGTCAGTCGATCAGTCACGCTTAATCAGTCGAGTCAGACATTCAATCAGAGTCAATCAGAGCCAATTAGTTAGTTAAGGTCAATCAGTCTATTAGAGGTGGTCTAAGTTAATCAGCCAGAGTCAGTAAGTCAATCAGACTTATTCTTTCCAGATTCATTCAGTCAGGTATTCAGTCAATCATTCAGTCAGTCAATCTCTGAGAGCCAGTCACAGTCAATCTGCCAACTAATTAGCCCATCTACGCTTCATTCATTCAGAGTCAGTGGGATTCCATCAGTCAGCCACTGCCTCAGTCATTTATTCAGTCAGTCATGCATTTCCGTTGGCTACCACAAATCCAATTAATAGGTGAATAGTTTTTCATTTCTTTTCCTCAGGCACTTCATTTACAGTTTTCTTAAACTTGATTGGCTCTTAGATGCCTGACTAGCATCCAATTCTTGAGAGCTTGTCTGCCTCGTGTGTGCGTTTGCGTGTGTGTGTGTGTGTATGTGTTTAGTGGTCGGCTTGTGGGCTGGCAAGGCGTCACACGAAACCGCTTTCATTTCCGCTAAACACAATTGCATCATTAGCGATGCAATCTCCGTTACTTAACGTAACCGCAACATGCCGGAAATGAAATCCGAGGCAAGCTGGCGCGCCCAGCGCTAAGCTCGCTAAACTTTTCCAACGGTGAACGACTCGACAAGTGCGCCAAGCAAAGCGCAATGAAAAATAGCAAAAAAATACAACAACAACAACAACAACAGCAACGGCAACAAAATGAAAGAGAACCAAAGGAAAATAGTACGAAAAATAAAGGTGGCGCAACAAAAAGGAAATATGACGTCTCCGTGTGGCATAGTCAAAGAGCAACTCGACTCGAGTCCAGGAGCCACTCGCACAAGGCTAAAAAGGAAAACAACCGGAAAGCAAACGAAATGATGCTGCTGCGCACAAATAATCGAATAATGCCATAGCTGCCATCATATGCCCACGACCAGCCGTGTGGCGCAGGTGAAAGGCAGGTGTAGTCGCTGCCGGCCAACCCGGACGAGCAGCGCCCACGCAATGACAAAGGCGGCGACGGTTACGCGGTGTCGCTTCATTGGGCTTGATGCATATACTTGAGCAAATATTTGAGAAGGCACACGGACACGGACGAGGGCTGCTTAAGGAGTACAATAGAATATGAGAATAATATGATGTATCCATACTCATTCGACGTTTGCACTGGGGTATATTAGTTCATTCAACTATGTAACATTTATCAAATATATTTTACACATGCCTTCTTTACCTCAACATACACATAACTTCGAGCTACCTTCGCAACATTCACTTAATATGGTGTCAAATGAAATGTTTTCTCTTTAGCTGCGAAGGTGCAGGCAATCAGCTAGATATTTGCATATACACATGTGTGTGTGTGTGTGTGTGTGTGTATATGCACACCTTTCAAGCTGCAGATCTTCTGGCTAAACGGACCACGCCTCCGCTTCTAAAGCCCCTCTCTTCAAAATGGCCGGCGGTACGGAGCTGAATGGAGACGGAGCCATCAAGTTAGCTGAGTGTACCTCAGGTGACTGACATCATATTCATGCACACGTCTCCTCTGGGTCAGGCGGGCGAGTGAAGCGGGCCGGTTGCCAGAAAGGAGCTCACACAAAAGAGTTGCCAAGCCTCAAGGCCACAGACATTGGTAGGCGGAGCAGCAGAAGAATGATGCGAAGGAGTAGCAGCAGGAGGAGGAGGGCGCGTGGCAGGGCGACAAAGTTTGGTAAACGTTTAGCTTGCTTACTTTTCAATTTGAATATGCCTCGTTCGCTGGCCTCTCTCTGTTTGACTTCAGTGGATGGCCGGGCGGCTGGGCGGGCTTGGGTGGGGCTAATGGGGCATGACAGCCTAATGCAATGCAATAATACAAAGAGCTTTCTTTCGCTTAAGCTTCAAGGCGATTAGCAAACATGTTAAAAAAAAAAAATTATTTATTGCCACATCGAAGCCAGCGCACAGAAAAATTACAGCAGCTCTGTAATAATGATATCATGAACTTTATTATGACGTTAATTTTTATTTTTACTTAATAATAATTTAGTAAGATTAGAAAATTCAATGCATTTCATATTTATTCATATATATTTAAATTAGCCAAGAAATATAAAAATGAATTATATCACAAGTTTATTCATTGAGATATTTTTATATGCCATATACCATAATTATAATAATGTAATACATATCACATATACATAAGTACACAAAGTGACAAATATTCCATTTTATTTGTAATATATTTATAAGATATAAACAAGTAGAGATTCATATATATGTTTATATATGCATATTATTTATATAAAAACATATTCATTTCATATATTAAAGTGATGTTGCAGTTATTTTCTTTAAGTATTTAAAATTAATACCAAATTGTATTTTTTTTTTTTTTTTTTTTTTTAATGGTAAATTTGAGCGAGGAAATTTTGTATTAAATAAAGGTGAATCAAAACAAGTTCAAAAGAGGTATTAAATTTGGGACAAGACGCCATCTAGCGATAAGCTTTGTAAGATTGAGCTTTTTCGAAAACAGACTATTAGCAACAGCTGTTAGCGACAGCTGTGAACAACAGCGAGTCCTGTAAAGCAGCTTTTATTGAGAGCTGTTCTAAAACAGCAGAGAAAATGTTAACTTAACAGTTAATTAACAGCAAATGTTGCCAACAGCAGAAAGTTTATTTTTCAAAAAGAAATCAGTTTAAATAATACGAGTTAATTCTTGTAAGAATTTCCATTTAATTGAAATGCTATTAACATTGGCTACGTGTCTTAGCCATGGCAACAGTTGAGGCCACAACAAAAGGGGTTGCCCCGGGCAACGAGGCGGCCAAGTCAGCTGACGGCCTCAGTGGCTGGTAAACAAAACAATTGAAGTCGTGTGAAAATCAACATCCAAAATAGAGCTGAAACTATTAGAGAAATTCAAATCAGATCTGGAGGCCGAACCATGTGCTAAATGGGCCAGCTGCACTGCTTGCCACGCTGGTGCTGCTCCTGCTGCTGCTGCTGCTGCGAGAGGACGCCGCAGCTGCCGGCGACAGCGCGCTTCAAGCTGCTGCTGCTGGGAGTCGCGGGCAGCGGCAAAACGCAGCTGGGGCATCTGCTCAGCGGCGAGGAGCGCGACGCAAACGACATGGGCGCCACGAATGGGGTTCGCTGCTATCGAGTGATGCATCCGGAGGCGAGTCTGCTGCTGACTGAGGTGGGCGGCAGCGCGGATATGCAGCGCATCTGGCAGCATTACTTTGCCACCTGCCACGCGCTCGTCTATTGCTTCGATCTGAGCGCCAGCTACGAGCAGCTCTTGGCCAGCTTTGAGCTGCTGCGGCGCTGCCTGCAGCATGCCACGTTGCGTGGCAAGCCCGTGCTGCTTGTCGCCACGCGGCACAGCGATGCCGTGCAGCTGTACGATGTGGAGAATGCCTTCGATCTCGAGCAGCTGAGCCGCTCCTCTGGCTGCCCCCTGCACATCTGCCACATGGCCGGCGAGGAGCTGCAATTGGGCGTGGCCTGGCTGCGACGCCAGCTGCAGGAGCTGGCGCCAGCGCTAGATCAGCGCATCAAATATGATGTTAATATGCAGGTAGGGGCATACAATCTGTCTCTCTATATCTCCACTTTTCTCTCTCTCTCTCTCTTCCTCTCTTTTACTCATTTATCTTTCTCTCGCTGTAGCTAGCAGTCTCTTTATCGCTTTCGATTTTCGCCTACTTTTATTTAGGCATATTGCTCTCTTACTTACTCCCTCTGTCTGCCTCTCTCCCTCTCGTTCTTTCTCTCTCTCCCTCTCTCTGTCTGTCTTTTTTTTTTTCCTGCTGCCTCTACTTCAATCCCTGTTTTTTATATTCTTATATTCCTCTATCTTTCTCTTTGTCTCTTATTTTTTTTATCTCTCTCTCTTTCTCTCTCTCCCTCCCTTTCTTTTACTTTCGATCTGTCTATCTGTCTGTCCTTTCCTTGTGACGTAATGTCTTCCATTTTCTGATTCTCTCTCTCTCTCTCTCTCTCTCTCTGTCTTCCCCCCATGCTCCTCTTGCTCGCTCGTTCATTCGCTCTCTCACTCTTTAGACACCTAGTCTGTCTGTTTTCCTTCCGGCAATTTTCTAGCTTCAAGTGCTCTCTGCTCTTCTCTCATTTCGTTTCTTTTCTTACACTGGAATTTCCTCAACTCTCTCCTTCTCTCCTCGCATGACACATAGCTTTACTTCACTTTCTTTCTACTCCACCAACTCACTCTTTCAGCACTCTCCTGATCATTAACAATATAATCCACCCACTCACACTTCCTCTCTCTCTCTCTCTGTCTCTCTCTCTCCCTCTCTCATCTTTCCAACAGTCGTGGGAGCGACGCAACCGCGCTCTGCTCTCCAACGGTAAACTGACTCAGCCACATCGCCAACGCTTTCGACGTCGCCATAGAAAGGTAACGTTATACATACGATCGACTCTATTGCTCTCTCGCTCACACCGATTTCTCTTCTCTCCTTGCAGCTGTGGCCCATCCAATTGGCCGGTGACGTCACGCAGCAGCGTCCATCAACGGCGCCGGCAGCCATTTTTTCAGTGCGCCCCCCATGAGAACTGCCTTCGATTAAATGTTCAGCAATATGTG